TATTCGTGGTTACTCTTCTTGAGTTTTCATGTCCTCAAGTTGACCATTCTAATTATAGCTCCTTTTCTTTCTCGAAGATGTTTATCATTGGAACCGATTGGTATATCACGCTTCATGCGCTCTTTCATACACATTTTTTATATTAGAGTATCCAACAAGGATATCAAATTTAGTTGGAGCATTCACAGCTAGTATATGTGACTTGGTCACTTCGTATGGCCAGTAAAGGCATTTGCTAGTTGGTAACGATAATTCATCTTATGAACTTCAGGTTCATGTTTCTTACTTTGAGGATCAAAATTAGATAATGATAACTCATTCCAACTCATCTCTTTGTCTAGCTGTTTTTTTTTCTCTCCCCCTTAATGTTGGAAAAGTTCTCATTTGGGATTCATACCCAACACAAATTCTCAATTTCCAACGAGAATCAACTTAAGATACTGTGGTGGAGCAATTGGGATGTATGCGGCACACCCTGATATTCTCATATGAGAAATGTTAGGTTTCTGACCAAAACCATTTGTAAAAGGGGGGAACTTATGATAACTTGTTGGTTAGATGTGAACCAATACTATCACTTGCCAGCTAGCATGTCCTCGACAAGAGTCCAGAAGGCTCGGTTTGTTCTCTTAAGCAAAGTGATGTTTGATTGGATAACCATCAAAATGTATTCATAGTGAGGCAATCAATCTCTCAAACATCGGGTTGCGATTAGATAAAATAAAAGTGATCATATAAAATCTCAAGAGATTTGCCAACTCTTATACAAGCTCTGATCAATTGTTCTATTCTCCTTGAGAACAAACATGATATAATAACTCTTTTAGTTGAAGAGTTCTTTGACTTCTCATATGATGTTCTCATGAATTCTCAAATAACTTTTTTTCACATCAAGATCCGGGATGGTCTAACCGGACCAACCAATTATCAAGTTATCAAATCTTGTAAACTTCTGGTTTACACTTTTATGTGTACGGATTGTACTAATATACATGTAGTACATATTTGTGATGCAAATATTAGTTTCACACTTTTCTTGATAAGATATTCATTTTACGAATATCCTTTTAATTGGGTAATGCATCATCACTGGGTAGTTTGGGTCCTTCAGGCCACAAAACATTAGCTCTTTTAGAGGTTTACCATATTTTGTACCATATTTCGCCCTTCCAGAGACTTATGATTTGATGCATTCTTAGTAAACACATATTCATAGTGAATATCATCACAAATTATTATCACGAGTACATAATTTAGTTACTTCAAGTAACCAAACATAAGCTTTTCGGAAGCTTTTTCTCATTTATGTACTCTACCATATAGTTTATATGGAATTTTTCTAACAATCATACTTTACAATAACATACTAAAATAATAAATGAGAATATTTCAAACTTAAGACAAAAATGATGAATTTATCAAGTTAATTGTTCTAGATAAATGTTATCAAATTAAATTATGCATGAAAAATAACGTCACAATAAAACATAAAAGAAATAAGAATCATAATATTACAATTGTGAAAATTAAATAAGCTTTATTTGGAACAATATCATCACTAACTAGGTGATTTTAAATTTATATATGCGTTCCATTATGCATTTCAATGTACAACAGGTACATTATGTTATCATGACTTTGATAATGCAATTGTTATTTTATCCTTATTTATAATTCTTCTCTTTTCTCACTTCTGGCGAAAAGATTCAAACAATACATTTAGCATATATATAATCATGTTTATAGCTCCATTCACTTCGGGGAATAGATTGTTTCATTCACTTCTGGGAATGAAAATGTCTCAAGTGCAATATCATTTTCATCTTTAATGGAGAATATACCAACTTATAATACAAAAAATATGTTCCATAATATTGATATTGCATCAGCATATTTGACTTTGCTCTTCCCTTTGATTCTTGGTAGAATCAAGTCTTTTGCGTACAACGGGTACGTGACAAACACACTTTTCCATTACAATGGTAACATACATAACCAATATTCTTATTACCATGTCCTTTTCTTTCTTTGCCCTTGAATTCTTCAATTTCCACTTTTAGGGAATATATGGGCTCTTGGAACTTGCATTTTCTACATATCAATGTGGGATTGATAAGAACAGGATAACACGGAATTGAAAAATTAACTCATCATCACTTATATTACTTTTCTTGTTATTGTGACTACATGAGCAAATTTTAATTTGCGATAATGACAAAACACCAATTTAATTTTAAGGAATCGAAGTATGTATTGTAAAAACACATAATAATATAAATCAAATTACACAACACAAAATTTTAATCTAAATAGATGTACGTGAAAAAATATCAATGGATGGTTTACTACGAGAAAAGAGTAGCATCCATCTTAATATATTGGAATGAGATAATCTCACCACAAATAAGACAATAAGATATGAAAGAAGACGAAGATTTGCATACCTTGATCATATTGTGATCTTACTCCAATATACTAGATTGTGTAGAGAGACAATGACCAACCATGATGCTAGCAGTGCTTCGTGCTGATAACGTGTTATGGAACTAATGAAAATATAAACAACTACAAGAGAAGATTAGAGAGGAAAAGACACAAGAGAAGAAAGGGGAAGAGTTCTTCTTATTCATTCTTCACTTTTGATACAATGATGTGCTATATTTATAGGCACACTTTGGTAACCACTACATCCTTATATCAATGCATATGAATGAGAGATAATAATGTAGAAATAGGGGTTACATGTAACTCCCAAGTGAGCATCTAATGTGGTAGGTCATTGGTCATCCACATATCAATATTTACATAATAGTCTAGTATTTAAGATATTCATTCATTTGTCTTTACTTTGCAACGAAGAAAGTGACCAAGGAAAACAAAAGATAATTGAAACCCTATACAAAGTACAAACAACCAAGTCGGACAAGAAAATGACACAATAATAACACTAATAGAAAATGGTTATAAGTATAATATGCCCCATGCAGTTTTATCAAACATGCTCATCTACTATTTTTACATCAAACATGCCCCTATACTTTGTAAAAATGATCAAACATGCCCTTATGTTAAAATTTGCATACAAAAACCATCAACCATGGTCGAACCTTAGTTTGGGCGACACCTATGTCTAAAATATTTTTAACAATTGCACTTTAGAATTGTTTTGTTTCTTTTGTACATCCAAATGCCTGGAGAAATAAACGAGGAAGAAAAACTTATATATCACCCCCAATTTTTTCGATGTCGAGTCGTGCGAATCTCGATTCAACCGTGGTTGACCATTTTTTAATGGAAATTTTAACATAAAGGCATGTTTCAGAATTTTTTCAAAGTATAGGGGCATGTTTGATATAAAAAATAGTAGAGGTGCATGTTTGATGAAACTGCATAGTAGAGGAGCATAATATACCTATAACCCTAATAGAAAATAAAGGGAAACACAAAATAAAAAGAAAAAGGAACCCATAGGTCTCTAGCTATCTCCCATTCGATTTTCTGACCTCCTAAATCGCTGCTTAGGATCTAGACGAAACATTTGAACAGTACTAAAACATAGACACGATTAATCAAGCATCTAAAATAGTTTTTCAGAATCCTAAATTATAATTAGTATCAAATTCTACTGGGCAACAAAGCCGGACCCAATCTAGTTCTCACATATGAGTTTGGGTGCGCCTATGGTGACATGCACTTTTCGGTCGGCCTCGGTTAGGATTAGGTCGACCTCATTTAGGATTAGGTCGACCTCATCGGTTGTTTCAGTATAAAAACAGTTTCATGGTGCCTACTTTGGAGATTCATATCTTACAATTGGCTCGATGGAAATTGGAGATTAATGGTTTGTTGTTAAGCTGGAGTGTCCCTCTACACATTGAAGTGCTTGGGAGCTCGATAGGAAGTCCAGAAGACCATTTTTGAACTTGATCAGAAGGCTATGCCAAAACTGGGAAATTGGTTGAAAATGGCCAAGTCTGAGAACGTGTTTGTGAAGCCTACTTTGGAGCTTAGTTCGAGAAGCATGGATGTGAGTCGAGTCTAGAGGCCTCTACCACGTTAAATTAGGTATGTTTTTATACAAAGTCAAGTCATTGGATCAAATATTGGATATTTGTAAGGCTTCAAACAAAACGGTACAAGTTGCTACGAAGACTGTTTTTCTGGCAGACTTCGAGCACAAGCAAACTGCCAGAAAAACAGACTTCGTAGCAACTTCGACCCATTTGTTTGAAGCCTTACAGATATCCAATCTTTCATTCAATGTCTTGACTTTGTATAAAAACATACCTAATTTAACGTGGTAGAGGCCCCTGGACTCGATTCACATCCATGCTTCTCGAATTGAGTTCCAAAGTAGACTTCACAAACACGTTCCCATACTTGGCCATTTTCAGGCAGTTTTCCAGTTTTGGCATAGCCTTTTGATCAGGTTCAAAAATGGTGTTCTGGACTTCTTATTGAGCTCCCAAGTACTTTAATGTGTAGAGGGACACTTCAGCTTCAAAACAAACCATTGATCTCCAATTTCCATCTAGCCAATTGTAAGATATGAATCTCCTAAAGTAGACACCAAGAAACTGTTTTTACACTGAAACAACAAATTAGGTCGACCTAATCCTATATGAGGTCGACCGAAAAGTTCATGTCACCCTGAAATGCATGTCACCCTAACAAAGTCCTACGAGTTTATCAGTTCACTTCTCATAATTCCTTCACCCGGGAGTCGGGATGGGCAAGGTCTATGAGCCGTACAAGGCAAACAAAACAGATGGAGCAGTCCCCTACGCAACTGTCCACAGAGAAATGTAAACGTGTGCCGTAACTCGCACTGAAGCTGAGAGTCTCTCTTATCACAACAAACGCAAGCCTACCCTCGGCCCATAAATTAGGGTCCAGAAAAAAAGGCCAATCAAAACGGGCCCACCCTCAACCGTTTGAGTTTGATTTGAGCCCTTCTCCTCTCTCTATATATAACTTGCCATCTCTCACTTGTTGCTTCTCCAACAAAAATACACTCATCCAGCGCAACCCACTTCCACCTTGAAGAAGACAAGACAACGGCAGCCGGCCACCACTGCCTGATTCCGGCGACAGCTGTAAACAGGTCAGTGAAACAGAACAGAACCCTTCGTCTTTACTACTTTCTCCTGTCTCTTCTTTCCCAAACCGCAGTTCCAATTCTTATCGTTCAATTCCATTTACCAAAGTAAAACTATAATAATTGGGCTGTTGATAGAGAACGTCCGTCGCCGTCGTTGTAGTCCTTCATAAACGAACCGTCGTGCCGACAACCGTAAGTGGGCCTGGAACAGGAATCTGGGCTTTGCCCGGTTGCCATATTTGAAAAAGAGAGCGTAAATAAACGCTCCACGTAGGGGTGTCCATTCGGTTTACCCGAAACCGACCAGATTATATACATTTTTTGTTTTTACGGATTCAAGTTCGTTTTGGGTTTCGGGTTTTTTGGTTTTGGGTTCGGTTTTGTTTATCGATTTTTCGGGTTCCGGCTAAAAACCTCAAATGAATAGAACTCAACCCGTATTCTTAGGCGTTCGGATTTGCGGTTTTGCTTTAACTAAATCCGATAAGGAATTTTCGATTTCGGGTAACCGGAACTCGCAAGTCCTTATCGGGTTCGTGTTCGATTTTAGTGGTTTTCGGTTTTGGATTTCGGATTTTTTCGGGTTTCGATTCGAATAACCGAACCCGACCCGAACTGAATGAAAAAGTTACGGGTAACCGAAACCCACAAGTCCTTATAGTGGAGCCACCACGTCATGAAGGAGTTTGTTAGGGGAACATATGGGAAGGAATGACGTAACGTAACCTTTTTCTAATTGACTGCATGAAAAAGTTGAGGTGTCAATTTGTGGATGAAACTTGATTCGGCCGTTTACCCATCTCAGCTCTAATGATGTGTATAGTTTCTGCTGCGCTCTCGCTCGCTCGCTCGCCTTATATTCTGCCTCTTGCTAGCTAATATCTTCCGTCCAGGAAACACAAGAGTGGAACTGTGGAAGCGAATTAAACAACAAATTGATCATGGCGTCGTCGGATCCTAACCCAGACCAGAAGCAACTAAATGGTAAGCAAAGCAAGGCTTTTTATTGGGTCCTTGACTAATTAACGTTAATCATTAACTGAGTGTTAAGTAAATGCATGGATGTACATTAATCAGCAGGTGATGTGAGATTTGCGGCGAGCGATGAGCAGAACTTGCTGCAGAAGCATGTCATGTTCTTCGACAGGAACCACGATGGAATCATATATCCTTGGGAGACCTTCCAAGGTACGTAAACGCTCTTTTTTTAACAGCTAAATTGATCCAGATTCTTGATTAGGCTTACAAGGAATCCCAAGTGAACTCTATATCGATCTTTAACCCCCAGATTCTATTATTCGTTATTTTTTTTACGGTATGTATGATTGCGTTGTTGATATGGCGATGATGAACAGGTTTTCGGGCAATTGGGTGTGGGTATTTGTTATCGGGAACGGCCGCCATTTTCATCAACCTTGGTCTTAGCAGCAAGACTCGCCCTGTATGTACATTCTTCTACCTACTCTCTCTCTCTCTCTCTCTAGCTTTCACTACGTACGTACTTTCGGCGTAATTATTTATCTGAAGTGACATAAATAAGTTGGTCCCAATAATTCAAATTGTTGGGAGAAAGTTATATTGGATCTTATATAGGCCCTGGTACTTAACCAAATTCTTACATGAAAGAGCCATCAACGCGTTAGACGTACGGTATTATGTGCTTAATTTATTCAATCGTGGATACGTACGTATAAGAAAGCGGTTTGTCCCTATCTGCTATGGACAGATAGATGGAGATTGGAGATACTTGACGTACCTTAATAAATGGACTCGGGTATTATTTATTTCTGTCAAAACCTTTCTAGCTGGTTTCTGTATTAGCTTTAATTATTGAAAGTGAGAGAACAACCGAAGCTGGAAAGGGGCACATATGGTTATCACTATAGGTGTGAAAACATAGCCCGACCTGATTAACCCGCTCGATCAATTCGACCCGCAGCCCGACCGCAACTCGAATTGACTAAAAGTCAACAACCCGTAACCCGTCCGACCCGCAACCCGATTGACCCGCAACCCAACTAACCCGCAACCCGACTAACCCGCAACCCGATTAACCCGAACCTGATTAACCCGCAACCCGAATGACCCGCAACCTGATTGACCCAAACCCGACTAACCCGTAACCCGACCGACTCAACCCGAATTTCATCTAATCCACTTGAATAATTATAAAAATATACAATACATAGTTTTTCAAAATAAAATTTTTCATTCTAAACTTAAGTAAAATTATTTTTTCATTTCGTATAAGAAATTTTAAAAGTATGAAACTCACTTGTATTTTAAGAAAATTACAAAAATTGAAACATGAAGGTCACTTGAGATCATGACAATATTAATATAATATATAAATTAAAATTTTGGTTAATTTTAACTATTCAATAAAATTATTAATTAAATATAAATAAAGTAAAGTAATGTATTTGGTAATTTGATGTTTTTAAAAGAAGAGGGAAATTTTGGTGTATTCAAGTTTTTGGGAAGAGAAAGAAGAGGAAAATTTGGTTTTTTGAATTTTTTAGAAAAGAAACAAGTGGGAATTTTGGTGGTTTTGATATGTGGGAAGAGAAAGAAGTGGGAAAGTTTGATTCTTTTGATTATGAAATAGAAATAAGGAGGAAAACTTTTGACTTTTTAACTTTTTGTAAAAGAAAAAAAGAGGGTAATTTGTTTTTTTCAATTTTAAGGAAGAGAAAGAGGAGGGAAAATTTAGTTTTTCTAATGTATGGAAGGAGAAAGAAAGAGAGAAATTTTAGTATTTTTGTGAAAACTAAGAAGGAAACAAATTTGGTGTTTTCAATTTTTTGATTTTTCATAATTTTAGCTTTTGAAATATGAATCTTTAACTTTTATATGGAGGGCATGACTAGTTGAAATTATTCTTATATGCTTTGAAGGCTAATATGTATATATGTATGTAATTTTTTATGGGCTAATAAATAAATTAACCATTAGTTACAACAATTTATACTAAACTTGATAAGTAATCTTTGACGGTTATTTGTTTAGGATATAAAGTATATGGTTAGGGTATAAGGTATAAGATACATATGGTTTAGGGTGTATATGGTTAGGGTATAAGATATTGATGGTTTTGACGGTTCTAAGTTTTTTATTAACATATGTTCACTTGAAGTCATTTGAAGTCTTTAACGGTAGGAGATCCCTTTTTAATTTTTGTTTATGGTACGTGGTTAGGGTACAAGGTATGCGGTGTAAAGTATAGGATATATGGTTAGGGTATTAACAATTAGCAAATATCACTTTTTATCTATGTTTTGAAAATCAAAGTATGAATTTCACTTTTAAATTAACTATACTAGCAAAATCACAACTCAAGGACATATGATTAGGGTATAGGTTATGTGGTTAGTGTATAATGTATTGATGGTTTAGGGTATACAATCAACAACATATACTAAGTGTATAGGATATATGCTATTGAGTAAGTTATGATTGAAGTCACAATAATTTTACTAAATTTGATAGCTAATCTTTAATGGTTCAATTTTTAGGATAATTCGAACAATTTTACAAATAACTCGTTTGGCAACAGTTTACTAAAGTTATTTGGGGAATGAGTTATTTTGAAATAACTCCTTTTATCACTATGCTTTTGCCAAATACCAGATTTGCATGGTCATACTAAACGAGATACTTTAATCCAATTACTACTGAATTAATATTAAAATATCAAATAAACAATTAACGGTGTCTTTTGGTTGCAAATATTGATATCACCATTACTATTAGCTATAATACTTTACCAATTATGATTAATTACATAACAAGTTTGCAAGTCATACAAATTGATTTAACATTTTGACTAGTTTTTTTTCAAAAAATTGGTTAAAAAGTTGAGAAAATATTTTAAATTAGTGTAATAAAATGTGTAAGTTGGTAATGAGTAATGAGTTAAGTTACTTGATGCGCTGGCCCGAACAACCCGAAACCCGACCCGCCCGCAACCCGCCCGACCCAAAACCCGGTGAACCCGCAACCCGATTTGCCCGCAACCCGATTGAATCCGAACCCGATGAACCCGCAACCCGACTAACCCGCAACCCGTTTGAACCCGAACCCGATGAACCCGAACCCGATTAACCCGCAACCCGTTTGAACCCGAACCCGATTGAACCCAGCCCGAACCCGCCCGATTGACACCTATAGTTATCACTACTTTTTCTTATTATATCAAATCCTTAAAGAGCCATGCACAATCATCATCTATTTGAAGTATGAGAACCGTATATTGATAATTGTAATGTGTACGTGCTACAGCACAGATCGAGTATCCGAGAGAATAATTAGATCTCATTGTTTAATTACTAGCTAATTATTATTATTATTATTATTATTATTATTATTAATAAGTTACTATTTTTTTACTGCCAATGAATTATGGGGTTGTTTGGATTAGTTATTCAAACAAGTTATTATGATGGGGCAGAATAATTTGCTTGACAACTCAATGCAGTGATAAGTTAATTTAACTAGTATTATTTAAAAATAACTGAATTATTCTCAATAACTCATACATCGTTATTTCTAAATAACTCATTCATTCTTTTTTACTTTTTTCCTTTTATGATATAAAATAATACATACAAATAGGTCACAAATTTATTTCCTTCCAATATTTCTACACTCAAATGTATCAAATAACACTAAAATATCACATTTGAAATTTGTGAATTATTTAGGCACAAATACCAAACCACAATCAATAACTCATCCAAACAAAACTATAGGCTTAATTGCAAGTTTGGTCACTCGAATTGCTACAAAATTTCACGTTTGGTCACTAAAATTGGTTTATTCTATTAGTAGTCACTTAAATTAGTTGAACAGTCCAAATTCGGTCACTCTTCGTTAACCTCCGTTAGACTCCGTTAATGACGACCATTAAGTGATGACGTGGCTAACAGAAAATCACAGTCAGCATATTTTAACCCTAAAAAATGACTACCCAACCCGCCACGTCGGATTTGTCCGCATATCACCCTTCCTTACCCAACCCGCAAACCTACCCAATAATCGACCCAACCCCAAACCCGACCCACCTGAATCTGAAAAGTAAAATCGACTTCCTTCCTTCTTTCTTCCCCTTCTCCTCCTCCTCCTTCAAACCCTCCCATCCTCATCAAACGCCCACCTCCTTCCTCGACCATTCACCGAAGCCCCCAAAATCGGCGGCCGCCACCTGGCCATCGCCGGCGTCAAAACATACCTCTGCCGCTACGGATTCGCAGACGGATTTGCCGTTGTGAAGAAGGACATGCATTTTCTTGTGGACAGGGTTTAATTTGATGAGGAGCTCGCTCTTGGACCCGAACTGCTCCTGGAGGAACTCGTACTCAACAGATTTGACGTTGAGCGCGATTCTAAGCCTCATTACGTAAGGGCTCGCCTAGGCGCCGATCAGTTTCACATCTCCGCGTGCTGCTTCGGTATCACCAGCCGGTTCAGCTTTCCGATGTCGCTCGGCGTCACCACTTTGTCGAACATGTGCTCCTTCTCTATCGGCATCGCCGTCGAAGACGGTCCGGCTCCGCGTTGGAGATCGGGATCCGCATCGCTCGAGCTCCCGAGGGACAGGTCCACGAAGTCGAGCTGCCGGTCGTCGAAATTGAATGCCGCGGAGGACGGGGCGGCGGCGGCGTGGTGCTGGTGTTGAGGGAGGAAGTTTCGGTGCTGGATAGCGGAAGGAGATGCAGCAGCAGCAGAAGAAGAAGATTGAGAGGAGGGATCGTTGTAACTAGAAGGGAAACAGAGTTTGGGGTTTGGAATTGCGGAAGCAGCACCATAGTCGTCTTCTTCAGATTCAGGGGGTCGGGTTTGGGGTTGGGTCGATTATTGAGTTGGTTTGCGGGTTGGGTAGGGAAGGGTGACATGGCGGGCAAATCTGATGTGGCGGGTCGGGTAGTCATTTTTTAGGGTTAAAATAGGCTGACTGTGATTTTTTGTTAGCCACATCATCACTTAACGGTCGTCATTAACGGAGTCTAACGGAGGTAACGGAGAGTGACCGAACTTGGACTGTTCAACTAATTTAAGTGACTACTAATAGAATAAATCAATTTTAGTGATCAAACGTGAAATTTTGTAGCAATTCGAGTGACCGAACTTGCAATTAAGCCCAAAACTATATAAGTAAATTACAAGCTAATTGGTGACATGTGTCATAAACCAAATGGTCCCAATAACTCGAGTTGTTAAGAGAGGTTGCATGTATGGTACTTAACCACTTCCTTATACGCCTCCTCAAATGAAAGCCAACTCATGAGCTTGAAGTTAGCATAGGCCTATTCATACCATGTGTTTGAAGACAACGATTAATATTGAAAGTCGTGAGCACTTGAACACAGTTAATATCTTGTTATAAACCAACTGGCTGTGCCGGGATTAATTTTGGTCCATAACTGATGCAGGGGAGATTTCCATCTCTGTTGTTGCCTATTGAGATTAGGAACATCCAAAGAGGTAAACATGGGAGCGACTCTGGTGCCTACGACTCTCAAGGAAGGTAATTTCATATACACGGTGAAAAATATAAATTGACAGCATGCATGGGATCGTCCTTCCTTCCTTTTGAACGTTCGATCAACGACTATAGCTATATCTCTGTTCTTTACTCCATGATTGAAGGTTCGTGCCTGCAAAGTTCGAAGAGATTTTCGCGAAGCACGCACTGTCACATCCAAATGCTTTGACATCGGACGAACTCGGGGAGATGCTGAAGCAGAACCGAGAACCTAAAAACTATGCTGGATGGTAATTAACTTCCATGAATTCCTCGTTGCGTCTAGCTGATGAGGTTCATCGCATGCAATTGTATAATAATATGAATGGGATGTAATATATGTGCAGGTTGGGTAGTTATTCGGAATGGAAGATACTGTTCCTTCTGGGCAAGGACGAGAACGGGTTGCTGCAGAAAGACACAGTGAGATCTGTCTACGATGGAAGCCTCTTTGAACGTATGGAGAAAGAGAGGCAATTATCATCCAAAAACAAGCCCTAATAATAACTTCACTAACCCTCTTCCCACTCCACATGTGTATCATAATTGTTCAATGTTTATGTAACACGTTTCTGTCTGTAAGGTGGTGGACTGGTCGCTGGTGGTGTTAATAAAGTCGATTGTGGTTTGAACATACGTCAAAAATTTCGAAGCTCCCTCTCTGAGTGGAGTCACAGACCAATTCTTGGCCGTGCGACACTTAGGTCTTAAGTCTCGTTAGAGCACTAAGTCAGCCTTGCTCGTATTCACTCAAACTCACAAGTGTTGGAGAAAACTCTATAGATGGAAATCTCTCTATTTCTGGATGAATGACAAATGAGGGAAAGTGCTGCTTATATAGGCATCCTCTTCACTAAGTACAATGTATGTGGCCGTTATAAATGAACGAACCTAGAAGTCCCCCATACATGAACTTGCCCCCATACATGAATGAAATCAAATAAGGTGAATGCATGAGCACTCATACATGAATAGAAATAAATAGAGAGGATGCATGTGCATGAGTGCATGAATCTAGAGATACATGCATGCACTACATCCTTCTAGAGCATTCTAGAATTTTCCCGTGACATACTCCCACACCAAATTCACGACGTCCTCGTCGTGCCACCTTCTTCGCATCGACAACATTGTTGGTGCAGTAAAGATGTGCTCCATGGGGAGGAAAGGGTGGCCCTAGTCCTTGCACAAGTTCCACTCCTCCAAGATGTCGTGCGCTCCTCGCCCTCGCTCTCTTGTGCCAAGACCATGAGCACCTCGTCCGTCGCATCTTAGGTCTCACCTTAGTTACCATGGCTTGTTTTTTCATGCAAGCCTTAAAAGCATCGAGTGCCTCTTCCATTAGTGGCACCACCCACGTCTTTCCTATCCTCTTTTCGTGCGGAATGCCAAGCCTCCACACTTTGACCGCAACGAGAAGGTCTTCACAAGCCTTACCCCATATCAAGGCTTTTGTTGTCCCTTTGTCGAGCCTCGCTCCATCGAAGCATCGACCACCATCGGCATGAGGAGGGTATTCTATCTCCTTTGTTGTTTCCGACTCCCCTTGATCGACCACGTTAGAAGGATGGCTTTCTCCAACTTGAGCCTCCTCCTCTTGGCTTGTCGAGTGCTCGACTACGAACATGGAGGATAACTTCCTCCGCGTTGGACAATCTCTTACACGATGTGGCCCATCACAAAGAAAACAAGGTGAAGGAACCAACCATCTTTGCTTACCTTTGTAACCACATGTGCTCTCATCCATAAATGAGTGTTGCCCGTAGCTCCCAACAATGTTGTTGTCAGACGCACCAAACTCTTCCGACACAACATCGCTTCCGGATGCCTCTTGCTCCTTAGGCTTGAAAGAATTGACCTTAAACGCACCAAACATGCTAGGTTGTGCTACAGACGCACCAAACTCTTCTGTATCCCTCGTTGGGAGAATCACCTCTCCCTTGAGCTCCGCAACCTCCTTTTGCATGCTCTCAAATTTGGCCACTAGTGTCTCCTTCAATGACTCGACCCATCTTTCCACAAGTTCATAAAAAGAGACGTGTCCCTCTTGTCCTTGCTCATACGCTCGTCACCACGAACGGATCCAGAAGCCATCTCATAGAATTTCTTCTTTACTTGATGAGTCACGAACCGGGCTCTGATACCACTTGTCACGGACATAGACTTGCGAAGTCTGTGCGGCGTCTTGAGGCGCACTCCTTCCTCAAGACCAGCCTCTCTACATACGCATGGCAACTGGTTTCGCCCTGCCTTGGGCTCATCAGGGAGACGGCAATAGCCTCAGATCAGTTGTGCTTTCTCTTGCAACGATCCCCTTCATAGCCACATCCTGATTCGACCAGAAACGATGCACAAGCAGACAACGCCTTATCGCTAATGTCGCCCCCAGGACCGTCTGATATGCACACCCAGGACCGTCTCTCATTCAGGCATAGGGTCGGCCCTTACTCGACCTATGTCGTACTGAGAGAGGAACTAGGCTCTTCAGCCTAACCAGACTCTGATACCACTTGTCACGGACTAACTCTTGGCCGTGCGACACTTAGCTCTCAAGTCTCGTTAGAGCGCTAAGTCATCCTTGCTCGTATTCACTCAAACTCACAAGTGTTGGAGAAAGCTCTATAGATTGAAATCTCTCTATTTTCTGGATGAATGACAAATGAGGGAGAGTGTTCCTTATATAGGCATCCTCTCCACTAAGTACAATGTATGTGGCCGTCATAAATGAACGAACCTAGATGTCCCCCCATACATGAAATTGCCCCCATACATGAATGAAAGTAAATAAGGTGAATGCATGAGCACTCATACATGAATCGAAATAAATAGGGAGGATGCATGTGCATGAGTGCATGAATGTAGAGATACATGCATGCACCTACATCATTCTAGAGCATTCTAGAATTTTCCCGTCATTGGCGGATACAGGGGGTGGCCACCTCGGGCCCCGGCCCAGCCCTCTTAGAGATCCAGAGTTAGAATAATCCTTATAAATTTGTCAGTTTTAGTCATTCAGCCCAGTGTTATTTTATAATATGATTGTGTATAATTAGAAAAATGATTCAGATGAACATATTCAATTCACTACTCTAAATTTATCCTAGAAATTCTAGCCCCAAAGGTTTTTCGTCTAAAAAAACAATGAAACTAAAAATCCTAAAGTCTAAAGCGTAAAAGACTAAAAGAAATATGAGGTTTGTTCCCTTAAAATTTTACTAGAGCAGCATGGTGGATATAGGGATGGACACACAGTGCAAATTGATTTGTCTAGTGTTGATGCTTCTCGTTTCAATAGCTACCACGGAGAGAACCTTTTCAACAATGAAACATATTAAAACTGATTTGCGCAACAAAATGAGCGATGAATTTCTCGCTGATTGCTCAAGTATTTTATTTGAAACATAGTTGGTATGGATGTAGTTTTCATTATTGATGCATTCACTAAATTAAAAGACCGTCGTGTACAATTGACATTGTAAAAAAAACTATAATCATAATATTTTTTTTACGATATCGAATTTTCCAATGAAATGCGGCCCAGTGCTCTACTGTGTTCTGGATCCGCTGCTGTTTCCCGTGACAGTGGGGTGTGGAAGTTAGCTAGAGCACTCGAGAGGTATACTAAGAGGACCTGGTAAGGTATCGTTGAGGTGAACAACTTTTAAAGCTACAAGTGAAAAATCAAAATAACTGGCTAAATTACACGTTTGTCACTCAAATTACACAAATCTTTATTTTTCTTTCTTAGTCGCCACTAACTTTACAAATCATTTCACCGTTAATCACTGGCTGTTAGACTCCCTCAACTCCGTCAATTTTTTGATGACGTGACAAACAGATTGCTGACTGGACCATTAACTAATGACATGTAAATTTAAAAAAAATTAAAAATAAAACAAGTAATTTACACCTCACTCTCTCCATCTCTCGTTCTACAACTCCTTCCTACTTCCATCATACACCCACCTTCGCGACTCACGCTTTCTAGTTTCTACGGCTTTTACTTCCAATTCTTCTTCTTCCCCTTCTCATGCCGCAACGCAGCATCAATTGGGGCATAAGTTTGATTATTAATGCCAAATCCGATTTCCTCTTGGCCCCATCCCCTATCCCTCCGACGCTGACAATTGAAAAGACCACAAGACTCCACCAACAATAACACCGCCACCACCAAAGCCAAAACCAGTGCTATGAATGACATAGTCATTTCCGCCTTCTGTCTGGGCGATTCTCTTGCCGACGAGCAGATCTAGACGGGGAGGCACTGGTCATCATATGCGAGATGGACCAGGTATATCACTCCCGATGACGAATTCAACAAAAAATTGAACTGGATAATGATGAGTTCTGGGCTTCAAATCCAAAAATGCAGAGGAAGTAGCCTCGAGAGTAAGCATAGAAATGGAACCCACGATGGAGAACGGCTGCCGGAAGAACAAAACCCTAATGCGAAGTAGCAAAGAACAAAAAGTTTTAACTTGGGTACTGGTGGCAAAATCGTAGCTAGAAATTTGGGGATTTTGACTTTACTTGGATGGAATCTTGGGATTTCATGTGACGAAGAGGTTGGATTCCGGCGACGGGGAGTGCAAGGACTGGACTTGGCGGTCGGAAGGAGATATGATGGTAAACAGAGCTTTCTTCATGGCCCACATCTTATGGCGAGGGAGGCATCAACGTGGGTGGAATTCCCGGAAGAGGGCGTTGCGGTAGGAGAAAGGTAAGAAGAAGAAGACTAGCAGTAATGGTCCAGTCAACAGGAGTAGGGGAAGGAGAGAATGAGGTGTAAATTAATTTTTTTATTTTTTTTAAATTGACATGTCGTTAGTTAATGGTCCAGTCAGCAGTCTGTTTGCCACGTCATCAAAAAACTGACGGAGTTAATGGAGACTAACGGTCGGTGACCAACGGCGAAACAATTCTTAAAGTTAGTGGCGAATAAGAAAGAAAAATAATCTGGGTGGCAAATGTGAAAATTTATATAATTTGAGTGATCAAATGTGTAATTTAGCCCAAAATAGCATTGGTGAGTAGGGTCCTGCAAAAGATGTTTCTTAATAGATTTTTTTTTATGTATAAATGATGTTATCTTTGAGTTAAGTTTTTTTTGGAAGAAGGAAGACCTATGTGACCTTCAAATCACGAGAAATTTTACAATGCTATATAGTATTGGTGCTATAGGTTTTTGCTTTTGTGTTATAATTTAAAATTGTACATTTACATTATGTTACAACTACAGATTGTACCTATACTTTTTGTACAAATTCTTTTATGGTACAACTTGAACTTGTACCTTTATGTGATGGTACAATTTCAAAATGTAAAGTTGTATCATAACATAATGGTACAAATTGCTTTATGGTACAACCTAAACTTATACATATAGCATAGTAGAAGTGCTCTCAAATCACACACATGCACGTCGTATGTCCGGGTGGGTGGATTGAGTTGGTCGGTTTGGGGACTGGTTAGGGTGCTAAGCGCTAAAACTAAAAGATTCAGTTTTAATTAATCACAAACAAATTTGGCAGGTAGTGGTAAAATAAAGTCTGAAAGGACACTGGGTGATTCCCTGAGGTGGGAGGAGACAGTGTCGACATGATCAATTTGGGATAAAAGGTTTTGGATAATTCTCGAACCCAAAATTGGTTGGGGTGGGTTAGCACTACAAAAATTAATATCTTTCCCAGCGGATTACTTGCGCCGGCTCAAGCAACCGTCGAGTTAGGGCTTTTCTAAATATGTTTGGTCTTGAATTTTCAAGAATTGACGGAGGCCGTCGAATCGCTCGAGAGAATGGAGGCAAAAGCACGGCGGAGCACCAGCGCGGCAGAGCATCAACGCATTTCCGACATCGATAGCAAGAGCACCGGTTCTAGTGCTTCGACAGAGGACTTTGCACACGCGGCGGGAAAACTGATCACGGGCGGCGAGAGCACGTGCATAGTTTCAACGTTGGCTGCAAGACCATCGGAGCTAGTGCGTCACCAGAGAACTGATTTTCTGGCGACATTAATCCGATCGGCGGCTTGAAAGCATCCTTCGACTACAGTCCTGACCTAAAATCTTGATTCAATTGAGAGATCAGACGCTTCGATCGCGACAACTTCTGAATCCAGGTCAGATCCAATTTCAAGCTTAATCGCTTTAGAGTTTTGAAATTCCTACTGAACTTTGCTAATCTGAGTTATATTTGTTCGAATTTGATTTTGATTGTGGTGGCATGTATGCTATTTGTTTCCTACGTTGATACCCCGTCCTATGTTTGATTGTTTTTGGTACTTCCTAAGTGACACACAACCTTGTAAGTCCTGAAACGTAATACAAATAATCATGCTTAAGAAAATGTATGGAAACGAATGAGTGCTTCTAGAAAAACATCTTAATACTTTTTGTTGTTGTTTCTTTTCTTAGACAGTGTTGGTAGATTTGGTTTGCTTTGTTGAAATGGATAAGAGTTGGATGGATAAACATAGGATAATTAGCATAAAATGTCACAAACCTATTCACTTTGTACGAAACGGTTACAAACTTTTAATTTTACACGTTTCATTAACATACGTTTGAGAGAATAACGAATGATCATTCCGTCCATCTCCATCCAAAGAAACTGTTAGTTTCGTCTAGTCAGCACGCCATATCACCTACAATATTTATAAAAATTTAACAACCAAACCCAATTGAACCGGACAGCCTAACCAAAAATCCTAATTCTATATCAACCTCACCCTTACACAAAACCCTTATCCTTCCTGGTCCGCCTCCCCTTCCTCCTCCTTTACAGTGTGTCACCCACTTCCCTCAAAACACCTACCAGCCACCTCTGGATGATCATTATGAGCTTCTAGAGCAGAAATTAAAGAAGGAAAAAGAGAAGCGAGGAGAGCGAAGACTTGAGATGGTTGTGGAATAGTGGAAGCTCACCTCCAGTCAACCATATTTTAAGGCGGATATGCAGAAGAGGGTTTCCAGATCGGAAGGCGGAAGCGAATCATTAAAGCCAGAATAATTGATTCGAGGACGCAGAGATTCCTTGGGAATTTGGCGGGTGCATCTAGATAACCTTCTTTGCCGCCGGTTTGAAGACGATGAATTCCTCGTCGGGGACCCAAGTCCGCTAGAGTCGTTGAATGGCTTGAATGTTGATTCGATGAATCATCTCCAGAATTCTCGGTGAACAGGCCGTCGAATTCGCCGATTGCGTTAAGTTATCTATTCGAGCCACGCAGTCGATTGTGAGGTCTTTAAGAGCGGAGAAAACCTTGATAGTGACAAACCCTAAATTAGAACCGTCGCGTCAGGTCAAAACACACGTTGATTACGAGGTGGAAGATAGGTTTTGGTTTGTGAGAGGAGAGGAGCGGTCGGAGGTAAGGAAATTGGAAGCGCCGGTGAAATACTCTGTTGTCGAGGGAAGCATTAAGGCGGAGAGGGAGAGGAACCGTGCTTTCTGGGGACTATGGGTGGGTACTCTGTCGGGTGGGTATAGCGGCAGTGAACCGGTTAGGATTGTGTGGATTAATTAGGATGATTAAATGTTTTTATTAATATTTTTAATGACGTGTCATGCTGACTAGGCAAAAATAACGGATTATTGGACAGAAGTGGATCACTCAAACTTGTTTTACTGAAACGTGCGAAATTAAAGATTTGTGACCATTTGGTACAAAGTGAATAGGTTTGTGACCATTTATAATAACTACCCGATAAACATAGGAATAGCACCGAATACAAAGATGGAGTACGTTGATTTCTTGATTTTGCCTTCCAAAATGCTTCACATGTTGGAAAGATCCTCTGTTCATGTATCCATTGTGGAAATGTGTCTTCACAAACATACGAAAATGCTAGAGTTCGTCTTATTTGTGACGGTTTTCTAAGGGGATATTCGAACTAGGTTTGTCATGGGGAGACGCTTAGTACTAATGTTTCCACATCATGAACACCTAGGTTTTCTATGACAGCTATTGGAGTAGAGCCTACCCTTGTCCAACTAAATGAACCATTCACAAGAGAAAGACAAGAGTCTATCACTGCCCAATCAAATCCACATATGAGAGTGGATTTAAATGGGTTGCTTCGTAATGTGTTTGTGAGTACAAATCAAGTAAACAATCTGGAGGAAATTTAAGAAGAAATGATGATATTCTAGGAGAAAATGATCACATAGAAGACATTTTAGAAGAAAATGATGACGAGGAAGGGAAAAATGAAGATGCAGCTGACATAGCAAAATTGCTAAGGCCGACTCCAATGAAACCCCCATAAATGGGGGAGGGAGCTCTCCAATGCAGCCTGCAAAAAAGCAAAAAACTGCATTAATGGAGGTGGCCTCCATTTGGGTCTCCAAATATGGAGGGGGATATATGGGAGTCAGCATTTATGGGGGAGATGGGGGAGCAGATTGGGGGTGGGGCGGGACAACCGCCCAGCCCTGGCGGTTGTTCCGCCCTTTTTTTCATTAAGTATTTAATTAATTATGGTTATATAATTAATAAGTGGAGGTTAGTGAATTAATGTTTGTATTAATTAAGTGAAGGTTGTCTATTTAATTTGTGTTTAATAGTTTGGTTAATTTATTTTATTTCCTAAGATGACTTAAATTGAATTCATTTTATTTAAAATTATGCTTATTATCTAGAAGTTGTGTACACAAAAAATAATTCGAACTAAGAATGGAAAATATATTATTGAATTGTAAATACGTTCTTGAATTACAAATCAAATTGTCACCAACTACAACTTTAAATTGAATTACAAAGCATCCCAACATCAATACCAAGCAACAACAATAACTAATTATTTACATGCAAGTTCCAAATATGCTCGACCAAGTCCTAACGAAGCCCATGATGTGTTGGTGCAGCACGAAGCCTATTATTCCTAGCCAAGTACTCAGTTAGAGTTGGAATATCTCTGTTGACATTAGTTGGTTGTGGGTCGTGGACCTCATAATCAAGACTATCTTCCATCTCATCGTCAGAATCAAATTGCTCATCCTCGATTATCATGTTGTGCAATATAATGCATGTCAACATTATATCATTAATTGTGGCAACATCCCAAGATCTCGCAGGGCCACGAAGGATTGCCCATCTAGCTTGAAGAATTCCAAAGGCCCGCTCTACGTCTTTTCGATGTGCTTCTTGACATCGAGCAAACAAGGCTTCTTTGTTTGAGCTTGGATTGCTGAATGTTTTCACTAAAGTTGACCATGAAGGATAAATACCATCATCCAAATAATAACATTGATCATAGGTATGACTGTTTACCTCAAATCGTACTCGTGGAGCGGATCCGTTGAGGATACGGTCAAACACTGGAGACATCCCCAGAACATTGATGTCATTATTCGACCCAGGCGGGCCGAAGAAAGCATGCCATATCTAGGTGTTGTACGAAGCCACTGCCTCGAGAATGATTGTTGGTTTACGGTTGTGCCCCAAGTACTGTCAAGTCCAAGAAGTAGGACAATTCCTCCACTCCCAGTGCATGCAATCAATTGACACAATCATACCAGGGAATCCGCGTTGTGAGGCTTTTTGAAGCAGAATCCTTAGATCACAAGGAGTTGGTGCACGAAGGTATGTCGATGAGTACATCCCGACAATGGCTCTGCAAAACTTCCTGAAGACTTCCAGTACAGTGCTCTCGCCCATTCGCAAATAGTCATCAAGTTGATCAGCTGGAGAGCCATAAGCTAGCATGCGCAGTGCACTAGTAAGCTTTTGCTCCGGCGATAGACCTAAGTGACCAACGACATCACTCCTTCGAGAAAAAGAGGGATCATACCTCACAACGTCACCCATTATGCGATTGAATAGTCGTGGCTGCATACGAAAACGCCTTCTGAATATGCGGGCATCATATGTTGGATTTGGATTGAAGTAATCCTGCATAAGATGGTTATGACCTGAGACTCTTTCACGATCAATGTAGGTTCAGACAAGTATTGATTGATGGCAAATGAGGGATTTGTATTTATATCCGAACATGCATCCAAATTTGTCTTACCTACCAATGAAATACCTAACACGTGCTACCTAACAACCTTACCTACCAACGGGCAACGATAACATCTAATGGTCAGATTCAAACGGTAACATCTAACGGTCATATTCGAACATGTGCTACCTACCATTGACATACCTAACACGTGATACCTAACAGCCTTACCTACCAACGGTAACATCTAACGGTTAATTCTCTATATATTCAGACATCCTCTCCACTCTCTACATCTCATTCTTACTGAATTGAAATTTTCTGTCAACTTCATCACCCTTTCTATCATATTTCTCTCCCTAAAAACCAAACAATGACAAGCAAGAGAGGAGAGAATTGGAAAGTGGAAGAAGATAAGAACTTGTGCAATTCTTGGGTCATGATATCAGAAGATGGAGCTGTGGGCGTCAATCAACGAACTAGAAAGTTTTGGGATAGAGTGGCGGCGCAATATCGAGTCAACGATCGAAACTTATCTCGTACCATCAAAAGTATGTGTGGTCGAATGGGCACAATCACCAAATTCTGTAAGTGTTGGAATTCAGCTATCCAAAGGGCAGAGAGGAATCAACCAAGTGGCACGAATCAACAAGATGTGGTATGAATTCTCTGTCACTATTGCTGTTATTTTCTAACTCGCTCATTAGTACGTGTGTTCTATTTTCTAACTCCTTTTCCATCTCATTCATTCATACATATAGGAGTATATGGAAGAACAACTGTATTTAAGTGAGACAGGGGAGAAGGGTTGGAATTTTGGTCATTGCTAGTGGATCTTGAAGAAATGCAAAAAATTCCATACTATTATAGCAATGCCGTCTTCACATCAAAATCGCATGAGTCAAGGTACTGATGGTTCTCCCATGAGTCAAAGTGATTAATCAACACCACAGACAGACCTCAATGACACAGAAAGAGACAAAGAAACTCCCCCTTCGTCGGGAAAACTCCACCCTTCGTCGAAGAGACTCCACCCTTCGTCATATCTCGCCCTGCTGGACGCGACAAACAGAAGGCAGCTAAGAAGAAAGGAAGGGGGTTGCTGAGTCATCAGAGAGCTATACTGCTCAATTGCTAGAGTATGGAAGTGAGATGAAGGAGAGGCATGCTTCGAGGACTGAGTATGATCGAAAAAGGATGGAATTCCAAGAAAAAAAATCAAAGCGTGACCAAGAAAAGTGGGAAGTTGAGAAAAAAGAGAGGGAAACAACACTATTTCGGGACAGCCTTGATCTTCTTGAAAAGGACTTGTCGAAGTTGACACCAAAAAAGAGGAGGTATTACAAAATTCAGCAAAACCGGATTCTAGGATATGATCAAGATGATCCCAACTCTGTTCCTAACTATTCATCCAACGCAAGTCAGACCGGAGGAGGAGATGAGAGTGGAGGAGGAGATGAAGGTGGAGGAGGAGATTACGGGAATTACTGTTCCATTCTGGGCGATTATTGACATGTTATGTGTTTCATCTTTATCATTTCAAGTGTTGTGTGTTATTTTTAAGCTTTATCATTAGCAAGTGTTGCGTGTAACCTTAAGTTGTATCATTTAAATTATTATGTGAACTCCTTTAGCTTTATCATTTTCAAGTGTTGTGTGTAAACCAAAATTAGGTCCATAATTTTTTCGCCAAAAAAATTCGGTCTCGAAATTTGAATAAATTCTATCGGAAAATTTGTATCTTAAAATAATGACAAGCTATACAAAAATTAACATTAACGAATTATATTAAGGCTTCGATAAGTACACTTTTAAGTAAATGTAAATATGGATAAAATGGAGATCCCCAAATTTGAGGTTGGTAGCATTGGAGCCAAATTGTAAAAAATGGGGGCAATCCCCAAATTTGGGGATGAAGGTCCCCAAGGTCTTGCATTGGAGTTGCTCTAAGAGGTGTAGATGATGAGCTTTATCCAGGCTGCAAAACATTTTCAAAGTTTTCATTCTTATTACAGTTATATCACTTAAAGGTCCTTAATCGTTGGTCAGATAATTCCTTCACCATGCTTCTTGAGCTCTTGCTTGATGCATTTCCGGAAGGTGTATCCTTGCCGAAATCCCATTACGAGGCTCACAGACTAGTGCGGACATTAGGCTTGGATTATGAGAAGATAGAAGTTTGCCCAAATGACTGCACATTGTATTGGATTACAACCAAAGATTTGGATGCTTGTAATGTTTGTAATGAACCCCGATATAAGTTTGAGGGAAAGGATAGGCGAAAGGTGCGAGTAACAAAGATTTTGCGTTACTTCCCTTTGATCCCAAGCTTGAAAATATACTTTGCTTCTGAGAAAACTGCAAAGCACATGAGGTGGCTTGATGAAAGTAGAAAGAAGGACGGACTGTTGCGACATCCAGTTGATGGAGAAATGTGGAAAGAATTCGATAATATATATCCTAGTTTTGCTAGTGATTCACGTAATATCAGATTCAGTCTCAATAGCGATGGTTTTAGTCCACATAGAAGTATGAGCAAGAATCATAGTATATGGCCTGTGGTGCTCATACCTTATAACATGCCTCCGTGGATGTACCTAAAACAATCATCTTGTATCCTATCAATGATCATTCTTGGACCAAAAGGTCTTGGAAATGATAGTGACACATATTTACCGCCGCTAATAGATGACTTGATGAAGATTTGGTGTCGACCAAACTTTTTTCGTACGTGCTGCCATGATGTGGACCATAAATGATTTCCTAGCCTATGGAAATTTATTTGGATCGAGCACAAAAGGAACGTTTGGCTGCCACATTTGTAGTAAATCAACATATTCAAGGCGGCTGAATAATAGCAATAAGGAATGCTCCAAGGTGTTAAATGTTGATGAACTCAAAAAACTGCAAACTCGAGTTGTTTTGACTCTTTGCCACATGGAAAAGTCGTTTGTGCCATCATTCTTCCCTGTTATGGTACATCTTCTAATTCATTTAGTAGAAGAGGCAAAACTCGGTGGACCGGTTCACTCTATATGGATGTACCCTTTAGAAAGGTAATTCTCCAAACTATGAGCTGATGATTCTTTTAAGTCTATGGAAATCATTATATCTCCTGTGTTTGGTAGTATTTTGGTCAATTGAAACCTTTTGTACGTAATTGAACTTCTCCTGAAGGGTCAATTTCAGAAGGTCACATTGCGGATGAATGTATGTAATTTATTTCCCGATATATGGAAGGAGTGGAAACTCGATTCAATCGCCCACTGAGAAATCCAGAGGCATCTGTGAATGATGAAGCCATTGAATTCAAGTTCAACTGTAGAGGGAAACATATAGGAAAAGTTAATAATATTGAGTTAAATGAGAAAAAAGAGCAAGCACATCGTTATGTGCTAAGGCTTTGTGATGAGATAAAAAAAAACTTAAGACAATAAGTATAGTTTTATAAGTAGTTTTCCAAAGTACTTAAGTCTTGCAATTTTGCCTAACATAATTTCATAATTAAGAGTGTTCATTGATGAGGAGAAGAGAAAGCGTTGAGGTCACACCTGCCTTAATGCGAACAACACAGACAAACTAGTGAATGAAAAGTTTCACCATTGGTTGAAAGAGAAGGTTCATTGTCTGTATAACTCATACATGTTAGATTACTATTTGTATTAAACAACTAGGTCTCACTAAATATTGCATATTTATTAGGTGTTGACCAAGAACGATCCAAATATTTCGGAAGATATTCGAGTCCTTGCTGGGGGTTCTAACATAATAGCAAGAAAATTTTCAGATTACACGATCAATGGTATTAGGTTTCATACAATATCACATGACCAAGGTAAATCTACACAAAATAGTGGTGTGGTCAATGTTACAGAAGTTGGAGAAGTGAACTATTGTGGGAAAATTCAAAAAATGATAGAACTGAACTACTATGGTAGTTTCAAGGTTGTTCTATTCAGATGTGATTAGGTTGATATCCATCACAGTACGGGAATCCAGCAAGATGAGTTCGAGTTCACCCTCCTTAACTTTTCACGGCTGATTCATATTGGTGCAAAACTTGAAGATGATCCTTTTGTATTTTCTTCTCAAGTTGACCAAGTGTTTTACGTGGAAGATCATAAAAATGTTGATTAGTCTATTGTTGTTAGAATTAAGCCTAGAGATATATTTGAGATGGGAATGGATGAGTTGGAGGATCTGGAAAATGCTTTTCCTAATGCTTCTGGAAGCTTAAATGTCCTAGATAATCCCAATTGGCTGCGAAATGATATGGATGATGAAGAGATTGTGTGATCTTGTCTTGAACTTTGTTGACTTTGAATGGATGTTTGATTCTGGAATTTATCCGTTGTTGTGGATTCCATTTTCATATTCCCAAATGAAGGTGAGCATTGTTCCCAAGAGGATTTTGGGTGTTTTAACGTTATTTTTTTCCTGGATGTTTCTATTGTTGTGGTATGCTTATACCTTTTTGGCTATTTGTACTTTTTTATTTTGCAGGATGACTATAAGATCAAGGAATTTGAAGAAAGTGAGAATTGTGACAGAATCTGACATTTCAAGTGGTAGTCGATATCGAGAAGTTCAACAACAAAACATGGATTCAAATGAGAATGAGGAAAGGGAAACTAGAGATGAAGAAGATGAATTCATTAACTATATAGGTAATATGATCTTATTTTTTCAAATATTGATGGAAGTACATATGTTTGAATGGCGTGGAGATTGAATTGTGGGATACATGTTTGAGAGAGTTTAAATAGATATTACATGTGGCATACTAGTGAGGTTGGGTTCCATGCATGCTACTTAGATAGGACAAGCGGCATACAGGTGGGCTAGTAATGATGAACTCTACATGATATTCATCATAGTATATATATACATACACATGGCTAGTTTCATTAAAACTATGACAATTTGATTTTGTAGATGAAAACACTGGCCGAAGGTATATTAAGCGAGGTAAGACAAGGGTGCCAGACGTGTGGAATCTTAGTGCAAGTGAGCATATTAATGTTGAAGTAAATGAATATGGAGTTCCTTGCGGACCTGAAACAGCTCTATTCGGATCTTTTCTGGGGACCATTGCAAGAAACAATCTTTTCACTCCCTTGTCGATTCCTAATTGGAGAAGGATGAAGTTCAAACCCTACCATGCACAAATATTGGCTCTTACTAAGGTATAATGGTGTATATGCTTGGTCTTTTAGCTCAATAATGATGTTGTGTTTCTATAAATGTTTTCCTCCAAAGCTAACATATGTGTTTTCATTTTATAGTCGAAGTTCCATTATCCTGCGTGTGTAGAAAAATGGATTTTGCAGTTAGTGGACAAGAAGTGGAGGGAGTACAAGAAGGAACTAAAAGCCCATCACTTCAACCCCGAATTACCGGTGGAATCTATATTTGAAAGAGGAGTTCCAGAGGATGCCACCCATTGGTATACTTTGGCAGCTAGTTGGTATAGCGAGGGAAACAAGGTGCCGACCAGTTGGATTTCCCTTCCCTTTTATAAAAGATATGAATCTATCATCTTGCTATTTTACTTGTTTTTGTTTTGTTTTCTCTTGTGCATTGAATAAGCGAGATAAATATAGCAAATGCTAAGATGATGAAAATGCCTCATACCTCTGGAAGAAAGAGCGTGCGAGGACATCAAAAGAATTCGTAAGCATTGATATGCCTATAAGAGATGCTGGTATTAATTATATGCTTGTAGGAAATGGCCACCGGAAAAGCTCCTGATACTTGATAGACTTGAACTGTTCGAACTTAAACATACAAGAAATGATGGACACTATGTGAATGATTACACCAAAAGGTTCATAGTAAAAAACTGAAATCATCCACTAAGATTTTTTTTTTATTTCTTGTATCTATCCTTATGTTTCTCTTTGATGGTTTTCATGTATTTATATGAGAGAGCCCGAGCACTTCAGGCTGCGAGAAGCAATAGTGATAATGCAAGTGATAACAATATGAATGATCAAAATTTTCAAGAAGTATCTAGTTCAGGCATGCTGGACGGTTTCGAGTTTTTGGAATGGGGCCAACCCCAACAAGATATTTTAGCGTATACACACAGGTTGAGGTTGCATCGACTTCTCATAGCTCAGCATCCGAATCGGCAAAAGTAACGATGTTAATGCGACAAATGAAGGGGATGGAAAAGAAAATGGATAAAATGGAGAACTTCATTGTTCAGAATTTTCCAGGACAAAAATTTGAAAGCGAAAGTGATGATGAAAACTCACAGGTAAACATTTCTCTATTTCTCAAAGAAGATGGATATATACTGCAGAGTGTATAGCTAGCTAATTACTATTTTTTGGGCTTGAACTCTCGCTGCCACGTAACCTCCCCCTGTGTCATCCTATCATCCCTCCTCTCTTGCAAACATTCATACTCTGTTTTTGTGGTAGGAAAATTAATCGAGGAAGTTAATAGACAGATAAACAAACAGACAAGTAGGTACGTGATTGATAATTTGTGGGTTTGTGTTGGGGGATGCACATATAAGGAAACACGAAGAAAAACACAAAAAACTCAACTAAAATAGCCATTCTAAGCCTTTCATAATGACCTAAAAATCACCGACAACAATACCAATAACTTGATGAGTGTTTTAATTAAGTAGATCGAATCAGACACTCCTCCACCTAGCAAGACAAGCAAACCCAAAATAGGATCGCAGTATAGTGGCTTAATTCGTATTCCATTAGGACCTTTGGATCTGTCACAACTCAACTTCAAATTGTTATCAGATCAACCAAGGTTTATGTGTTAACGAACTAACTGAACTAACCTAAACTATAAAATAAAGAAACTAAGGTAAGGGAGGATCATAATATAAGAGCAGTTGTTGGCTAGATTTAAAGCTACCTTTCAATGCTTGCCAAGGATTATAGACTTATAGTCATAAAAAATGCATTGATGCATTTATCTCTCTAAGAAAAATCTCTACATTGAACTCCTAATTCACTTGCGATCAATTAGAGCTCCTATCGACTAATAATTAGAGAAACTCGAGGTCTCGCCATCCCAACTAATGTATCGAAGCATTCGAGATTAGGCTTACACTACTGAATCTACCTCACTATCCACTAATGAGATAGCCACGCTATGCAAGGATCATGAAGTACTTGGCCAAGCCATCCATCAAATCATTTCTAAATTGACCCGAAACTTTATAGATTGGGGATTGCTCATCTTGGATCTTTAAAACCTAAATGCAACAAACTTGGATCCAATATTAATGCAATTACTTTGACAAACATTTTGAATATGAAAAGTTCATGTAGTGCTAGCTTTAGCCACCCATCCACTCCTCTCATATCTATGGTGGTCAAACAACAAAAATTGAGGGATAACTCATCTTCAAGTTACTGATACTAACTTGAGTGTCGGATGATCTCCTAGGGATAAACCTCTGGGAGGATTTTTATAGGTAACCCAATGAAGGAGCCATGTGGAGTGGACATGGCTTTAGAGATTGAGGGAACAGAGAGAAGAATCGAAGAGGAGGGAGATTGGGTCATGTTATGTCGGTCAAGAGGGTTTGGTTGTGTTGATTTGTTGAGTTTGTGTTATTTGACATGGTCTGTTTCGTATTAAATTTGGTTGACGTGACATGCTAATATGGCTAGCTAATGAGGATGCAAAATGAACGGGGATTAACCAAAATGTTAATTAGTTAATATGTTTGTGACTGATCTGTTACATTTTCTAACATGAGCAATCGATTTGTTAGTAACCTGATTTAACACAAGTGAAATTTGTAAAATTGGGCCTATCTTTTTCCCATGTTCACAGCTGCACAACCACTCATCGACTGTTCCATCAAATCAAATCTACGAGAAAACTTACAAATCAACTGTTTACCCATAAAAATTAACCTTGTACCACATCGGTTAAAAACAAGGAATTAAATGGCTTTATAAGGCCAACTTAATCATATCAGTTTAAATCAGTTGAGTGGGCCATGGAGATTGGGTTTTTTGGGCCCATTACTCCGTGCAACCATGCGCGCCATGTATCTCCAAATTTGGCTAAGTATGGGAGCCACTCCCATGACACCCAGAGGGGGTGGGCATCATACCGTCACCCACATGGTGAAGCCACCGCCAGGACGTGGTAAGGGGGGTGGGCATCATACTGCCACCCCCAGGAGGTATCAAGGGGGGTGGCCACCATCATAACACCCCCAGGACGTGGTAAGAGGGGTGGGCATCATACCGCCACCCCCAGGAGGTATCAAGGGGGGTGGCCACCATCATACCACCCCCAGGACGTGGCAAGGGGGGTGGGCATCATACCTCCACCCCCAGGAGGTACCAAGGGGGGTGGCCACCATCATACCACCCCCAGAACATGGTGAGGGGGTGATGGCCGAATTTGGCTAAGGCAAAGAGAAGAATTACCACCCTCAGGACGTGGTAAGGGGGGTAGACATCATACTGCCACCCCCAGGAGGTACCAAGGGGGTGAGTATCATATCGCCACCCCCATGACGTGGTAAGGGGGTGACTCAGGACGTAGTGAGGGGGTCATATTGCCAACTCTCATGGGGGGTGAAATACGATTAAGTATGGAGAAGGATGGGGGCCCCATGGTATGATCAGGGAGGGTGATCACCAAGGATGGCAAGGAGAAACCCCCATGAGATGATCAGGGGGTGGCCATCAACACACCCCGCCATGAGCATGCAATCCCCATGATATGATCAGGGAGGTGATTAATATCCACCCCTATGGGATGGTCAGGGGGTCACCAGCATACGCCCCATGGTATGGCCAAGGGGCGTGGTCAACATCGCCCCCATGAGGTTGCCAGGGGGGCTACCAAGACATCACCCTCGTGAGGTGGTCAAGGGGTGTCAGGTGGGCACGTGGTCTCCCTACTCCTGTAATGGTGAAGTGTTTTTGCCATTTTTGACTCAAGTGATTCGAGTACCCACCCATATGTGGCACGTGGTGTGCTTTCATGCCTTAGCCATTTTTTCTCTATAGACAAGCAAAGCTACGGAGGGGATACCAAGAGCATGGAGTGAGGTTTCAAGAGGAGAGGCCAAGATTGGTCTACATCCAACATCAAGGTAACCGTCGAAGCAGTTGAGAGGGTAACTGTCACTCCACGTCAGCATAGCAGTTTCTTGTGGCAGTTACTTCTTATGGCTATAAATAGGAGGTGAAGATGATAGAGAAGGGGTTCGCCAAAATCACACCAGACAACCTATTATCAAATTTATCCTTTTATCTTTACCTTTTCCTCTGCAAATGTAGTCATAGCCATAGTTGTAGTTTCGGAGCTCTCGCTAAACCTCCATAGGAGTAGAATTATTGTAATTTAGTTTGCCTCGTAGATCACAAAGAACATCGAACACCCTTGTTTGAACTTTGTTCAAAAAGGTGTGGACCGTGTTTGTTAATCGTTTGTTTGGAAGTCAAAGGTGAAAAATCCAATTCTGTTCATCTAGTTTTTCTCGCCGGGAAAACAAATTGGCACACCTGGTGGGACCCGTGTTTTCGATTTGATGGCTCAGA